TATCTTAACTCTCCAGAGATCCAAAGATAAAAAAATGTATATAAATAGTTACGGCAAGTCTAATAGAATCTAATAGAAAAGACATAGATTTAGTGACTGTGAACTGTTATTACTATTTCTTTCTTAAAAAAAAATATCGACAAAAAAATTTATGAAAGTGAATTTTCCCTGAATTTAACTTAATAAAGTGAAATCTGTGAAAAATCTGTGTAAAATTCCATACTACGCGCGCCGAAAGTCCAATCACGAGCAATAATTTCACTATTTTTTTTTTTGCAATTTCTTTAAAACTATGTTGTAAATCGTTTCAAATTTTACTATACTTTTGTTTGTTGATGATCTACTTGTGTGTAAAATATCACTGTATTGATAGTATTTACACTTTTCTCTGTAACGTCGTCAGGTTACGTGTTAAAACTCAGATATTCAAAAATTGATAACTTTTTATTTGAATTGTGAATCGATCCCCACACAACACAGGATATTTTGAGGGACATTTGTGCATCCGCTGGATATCCACCGGATATTAAATACCCACTGGATATCCACCGGTTATTGAGATATCCCACTTTATCTGTAGGACGTCCCTCAGATAAAGTGTGCTGTGTGGGTCTATTTAGCCCCGAACTTTGAAAGAGAATACAAAATATAACATTAAATTTTCATCAACTTCGTAGCATTTTGACAAACCATCCTGAACATGCTATATTAGTAGGCTGCGACAATATCGTTTTTGAACTTGTTGTAAAATATCACCTCAATTGCATCTCATATATTTTATCTAATTACTTCGCATTACCATTCAAAGGATTAGAACTATATTTATAGATTCATTCTCCCATGTCTCCCATTCCGTTTCTTCTTCGCGTGAAAAGCGCAATCTTTATTACGCAGAAGGTGACATCAACCCGGATTCGCCGGATTAGATATAGCTCGTCGCGACATGGTGGTCGAGAAATAAAGTATTTTTCATTGCCGGGACAGAACCCGGTATAAACCGGGCTATAAACCGACTTTACATCTCGTCGTACGGCACGTCAAAACAGATCTATAAAGCAAATATGTCTTTTCAGAAGCGCGGGCGTCCTTTCGCGGAATCTCTGGCGGAATATCAAAAAAGCGAATCCACACATCTGCCGAGGGCAGAGAGATCGCGTTCATTAATATACGAATTATAGCGATGGCAGAGAGAGGAGAAGGGAAGTTGCAACGGTGTTTTGTCTCTCATTAGCTCGTAAACAGTGCATCAATATCAGCTGCTTGCCAAATTTAGCGAGCAGCCATCGACTTCTTTATCAGCGCGCTTCGTCGCTTTTTCGTTTTCCACGCCTCCTACCGATCCCATTCGCGGGATATGTTGTACTCGCATTTAGCCTACATAATTATGTTACTCGCATTTAGCCAAGATAGTTTAACGAGGACCAGCTATAATATAAGATTCTAACTCCTGCCTCCTTCAATCTGATTATTATTATTATTATTAAGTAACTTCATTAATAATGAGGTAGGAACAGAATGAACCATTTACCTTCCCTTAGCATCAAATATTTTCCATAGTGGCCCTTTTATTGATTTATCAATATCTTTTCCTTACACATTGCTAGTATATCTTCAATTTTAGCTGCAATTAACTTTATCTCTACAATTTTAAATATACTCGGGGAGAATTTTTGACCGGTTTTCTTGCAGTTAAACAACTTAACATTTTGGTTGGTGGCACATTTTGGTGTCCCTTAAGTGAAAATTATCTTTGCGTAACTGAATATCGACAGAACTAATTGAGAGAATTGACTAGTATAACTTAAAAATCTTTGAAATAGATAGAATAGCTAATTATGATTTTTAGTTACGCGGGGTTTATTAGGGTTACGAATCCAAATAATTTGATTATTAATCGTGGGCCCTAAAGTGGGTTGCTTAATCATCTTCTTTTTCCCAGAGTACATCATAAAAATTTTACTATAGATATAAAATCTCCTTATTAGTTTGATTTATACTGATTATACTTTTTTACCCGACCGCGAGACACTTCCTCATCTTCCGTCTAATTATCCTTTTCGCAAAAAGCAGCTCTCGGCAGTTGCGACATTTTTTTGTTACCGCAGACGCGATACGATCGAATCTTTTTGCCAATTTCGTCGATCCATACGTCCCCTCGTAGCTGAACACTCTTCTTCGCGTGCTTCACGCGAATTTATATACGTCGGGGGCTGATATCATCCGTCGATCTCGTGCACTGACCGTACCGCAGGCGGACGAGATCATTACGGGTCCGTAATGGAAAAAAAAGACAGTCGAAAATTGACGACCTCTCCACCCTTCGCTCTTTTTTTCTCTCGCGCTGACGTGATCCGACGTTATCTTATCCGTATGTAACACGTCACGATCGCCTTTGGGACACCTCTCCTTTTTTCTGTATCTTTTGGATGACAGCGACTTGACTTGTTAGGCTTTTTTTGGGTAAGACTGGATTTGGGATAGTTTTTACAGATAACCCCGATAAGGACTCACCCAGCCGATAACCCCCATTGAAACTTGCAGGAGATGAACGAGTGGCGGCACGCTTTTCTCCAATCCACATTGACGGCCCGATCGAACCAAAGTCTATATTTAGATTATTAATCGAACCGGATACCAAAACCTGCGGTATAAATTATGAGCGATTGTCGAAGGAATTCTAAGAGAGCGAAGGTGTTGGACTTCTCGGATAAAGCACCTATATAGTAAAATAAAATCCATACAAAGCCACCTGTGAGACTTTTTTTAATCTTACAGATGAATGACAATATTGACAACCTACAAAATAAAAATAAAAATCTGTATGTCACAGGAAAATTAAATGACAACTTGATGATCCGATAACGTCCGCCTACGAGTTGATTATGTGAAAAATAAGCTTATCAAAGAGAGTCTTTAAATAATCATGTTAAGCTATAAACTCGCTTTCTCATGCTTATTTTAAAATAATATTTCACCCATATATACATTTTGCATAATTATATTCAATTATTCCACATGAATATAATCCTTGGAATAATCCTTCTCACGAATAATTCTAATAATTCTAAGACTAGATATCCAATCAAAATTGACAAGGAGAAACGCCGTAATCGGTCAGGACTGGATTTTGATTGTCCAAATAATATAATATAAATTAATATTGCTAGGGAAAAGAATAGTACGTAAAATTCACTAAAAAATCAATATTATATCATTTGGGCAATTAAGATCCAGTCTTGATCCTGACCGATTACGGCGTTTCTCTTGTCAATTTTGATTGTATGCACGGTCGTATGCTCACTTATTTATTGTCTAAGACTATCGTTGTAACCGAGGAGAAATCACGTTATGATTCGAAAAATTTGAGCTGTAAAATAATTTCGGTTCCTAGACCGGATATATATGTCAATTCAATTGTCCGATCTTATCGAAATTCCTTAAATAGTTCTCACTTGATTTATCAGCCAATAGGAATAAAGTTCTATTCTTGTACAAGCTGTCGGCATAGCAGGGGAAATGTACTTATCACGGGACCTATTTTTATTTTTGGACACAAAACACAATTTCCTGATTAAATTCTGATTTATCCTATTTCAAGTTCGTTGACGCTACTCGCCGGCGTTCTCTCGAACCATACCTACACGATATACGCGAATAAAGTGTCATTATTACATATTACTAATGCAGAATAAATGAGAGAGAGAAGATTATGCGCTGATATGCTTGTGCATATATGTACTTACATGTATTAATAGCTTATGTACTTTAATGTGAAAAATTAACTTTCAGCGTTCTTAGAAATCTTGACCTTATTCTCACCTATGTGATAATCGATGAAACTTAACGCGGCTTGAAATTGCAAGGGTTATTAAGCGGCCTTAAAGAGAAATAATGCGCACATTCCATTAATTATAGCACGCTATCATCCGCTGACTTACAGATAAGTACATTATGTATCACGTGATTAAAAAAAATATATTAGAGTAAAATTTCGTAATTCAGAGAATTATTCTGGTATATTCTGCACGTGGATAAAAATACACATAATAAGAGATATAAATTTTCTACAAATCTCGTCGCGTCAGCAATAACTTAAACGATAAGAAACTTTTTTCCGCTCATTCGAAGTAAATATAACAAGGATTATGATCGATTCACGGCCAATAATGGTTGTTGAAACAATGTCAGAATTATATACACGTTTATTAAATAATTCAATATTCGACGTTTCGTGCCATACTAGGACTTCGTCAAAGAACTAATGTCGATCAATAAATACATATTCTACATTATTATACGGAGCTAACTAGGGTCACATTTAACGCCAGCAATAAAAAACATAACGAGTCATACCGCAATTACAAAGTCAACAATCCTTGTTATAATAACTTATATAAATGACTGAGCGACTCATTAATTCCTGTGTGCAACTCCCTCCCGTAGCTTTTTTCATTCCTTTAACCAGGGACATCGATGGGCCAGGTGCACGAACTAAATATAGCCCCCTTAACACATCGTTCTTCATTTAAAGCTATAATGGAAAACAGCGCGCATGTTCCGTATACCAACCGTGCGGTCGCATCGAGATGTGTACGCAACACCTGAGGACGGAATAGTGTTTTGTACCACTGATTGTGTGAGATATTTCCAATCGTTCCTCGCCAGACAGGAAAGCGGGGAGCAGAGAAAGGGAGGGAGGGAAGGGAAGAGAGAGAGAGAGAGAGAGAGAGAGAGAGAGAGAGAGAGAGAGAGAAGGAGAGTATCGTATTAAATGCAACGCGACGTTGAATATAGTCGTAAACAATTAGTCGCAATACTCGCAATACCGCTCACGGGCGAGCCGAGTGTACGAGCAAGTGCATCGAACCGCGATGCGCGCCGACGAGCGATGCAATGAGGCGACGAGTCGACGAGTCGGCGACCGGCCGGCCGCCGCAGCCCGGCGCCGTGTCTGCGGAAGAAGAAACGCGGCGTGAAAGGCGAGACGCATAATACGAAGTGATAAAAGTCACCGAGAAGTCCCACGATCCCCCTTTAGGGTCTTACGTAAAATTAACAACAACAACAACCGTCTGGTTGCGTCGTAGCTCGTATAGCGCGACGGCACGTGCGTACCAAATACGATGCGTCAACAATTGCTTCGCGATCAGCTGGCTACGCGATTCGGATATTCTTGAAATCGGAAGCGCGTCTGGGATTTTATGACGTTGTTCCCTCACATAACGCGTTTTTTTGCAACTTACACGTAGATCCTACGCAATATGTTACTCTAATAATAAGTAATGACGCAGTTGGAGTGACGTCGCCCCGCGCATTGTTTATTACGTGCGCCCACCCTTCGAAGAGCGCGCGCGACAGATTGCTATGAATAATGCATCCATTAAATATCACCGGAAGGGGTTCGTACGAAGGGGTTCATATAATCGATGGTACACCCTACCGAGAAATCAGTAGCGATAAAGACATGGATAGCGATAGTTCGACGTTGCCCGTCAAGAAGAGGAACAGTCCTCCGATGCTCTGGGGCCTCAGCCTCGCTAAGGAATCTTTCAAGACGATCAAAGTGATCTTACTGGGCCAGCCAGGCGTCGGCAAATCGGGTGAGTGATCGATAACAGTTTCTTCAGCGGACAAATTATAAAACACGGATATGCATCTAGTTGAAATCATTAAACGATTCATTTCTTCAATTAAATAAACGGAGGTCTACGTAACAAATAAAAATGGATTGAGAAAAAAGTTAACTTATGACTAAATATTTTCAACTAATTTATTATTTTTTTAATCGAAATGTTTATGTATTTAAATTAAATACGACATATTAAATCTAACACGTAAATCTGACGTAATTTGACTCAAATTATACTTAAAATATTTTAATTTAAAAAATAATAATCATCAGTTGAAAATATTTAGTCAAGTTAACAACTTTTTTCTCAGTGTAGTTTTAATAAACTTCACGAATTTGCATATCAAAGATAGCGCAATTTTCTTAAGCGAAGAAAATACGGAAGTAATATATTTCTAATGTCATTTTTGCTTTGAATCCTGTAATCAGCTTTAGCCGTGCGGTTCGCCACGAAACGTTTCATAGGCGAGTACGATTGCACCACGGACAGAATATACCGCGTGGACAATCATCTGGGATCTTCGTGGGAAATAGCGGATCCACCCGGATATCCACCCGCCTCCACCGAGCCGAAATTACGATGGGCCGACGCGATAGTTCTCGTTTATTCGGTAACGGACCGGGTCAGCTTCGACGAGACCTCCCGCCTGAGGTACGTTTGTCCCTCTCTCCCTCCCCCCTTATATATTTTATCAGAAGATAATTGCACTCTACGATATATTAAATTCGTTCGAACGCGCGAGGTATGTGCATGTCGTGTATTTACAGGTTTTTGGTATCACACGCGAGAAGAGGCAGAAAGGTGCCACCGGTCGTGTTGCTTGTGGGAAACAAGGCCGATCTCTCCTGCTCGCCGGGTGAGCGAATGGTGTCTGCCCTGGAAGGCCAGAAAAGGGCAAAAGAAATCGAGGCTCATGCTTTCCACGAGATTTCCGTAAGGGAATCGGTTGATCAGGTAACGACCTGCGTGTAAATATTTATATCTTTAGTCGATTCTATATTCGCGCCGAGTAAAGGATAATCTCATATTATTATTATTATTATAAGATAGAGAGAAAAAGAGAGAGAGAGAGAGAGAAAAAAACGGTTCTTTCGCGCCTCGGTCAAAATAACAATTGGGTTCAGATTATGGTATCATATCATTCTTTTCTTTGACTGTTTAAAAATAGTACTGATCTTCAATTTTTTGATGCCCCGAAAAAAATCGATAGGCTATAAATGAACGCGAACCGCCTGCGCCCACGCGATAAATACACGATGCGGTTAATCTATCAGCTAATCGCAACGAAGATTATTATTCTAAACGATTGTTTACTCCGCGGTCATGGCATTTGCGCGTGATCGGCGGAGCCATAAACAAATCTATATCGCCCGTCCTCAAGACACGCGATACAAACAACAGCATTTTAGTATTTTTATCTACGTATTGTAATGACGATGGATCAACGCATTTCAGTACTCGATAATCGCCGAGTATCGGAGCGATAAAAATAATTAATGTAAATAAAGCTTTTTGGGAACAATTAAAAAATAAGATATTTAATTATATTATAAATTTAATTTAATAATTAATAATGAAAGTTATTTATAAGTATGAAATATCCAGAAGCTAAAATGAGTTTTCTCTGATTTTTCTACAAATATGACAAAATATATATCGTGTCTAAGATAATTCTTTCCTAACGATTTTGATAGAATATATTATTGATTTCATATTAATGGAATAATATTTAATAATAATTTTATTATTGTGATTAGTACGCTTATTTAATATATAAAAATGTTGCACGCGAAGAAATAACGTGTATAAAACACGATTTAACAGTAAAATTAAAGTATTCTGTGACTTTGCGTATGAAAAAATATTTAAAAAATGGCGAATGAGAGACGTACAGCAATTGATTTTACATGTATCGTAAACACGCACCAGAGCAAAAAGAATTACAGAAACGTGGGAGTGATAATGTTCATGGCGTCGAAAGAATATTTCTTTCTTAGATAATATCGGGTCTTTATGTAACGGCGGCCCTGACAATTTGCGATTATTTTCTTTTGACAGGTCACGGCCATATTCATGAACATATTGAGATTGCTGACCGAATTGCACAGTTCAGGACAGCAGCAGGCATTTTTCAGAATGAGAGCTTGCACAGACGGAAGTATAAACTCTCTCCGTTGTACGTCACCTCCTCCACTGGAAAGAAGATTTAGCATCTCCGCTCGCGGGAATTTATTGTAATCGTTAGATTAGTCTCGAGAAACTAAATAATTTTATTCCACGAAACATCGAGCAAGAACACTGTATAAAAAGATTATATTTTAAATGTTTTAATAAATCTGTATTTGTAAGAAAAATTACTTGTGTTAGATGAATTCATTAACAACGTTTCGAACTTTCATCTTTGTCAATAATATTATAGATACTTAATGCCGGCAGTTTTAAGATATTTTTTACAAAAAGAATTACATGGTGTAATTGCAAAATTGATAATTATATTGCGTAGCCTGTAGATATATTTGATCTAGCCGTGTCTTATCGCGAGCGCAAGAGCTTTCGCATTTTCGTCCTGTATCGCCGCTCTACAACGAGCTACTGCGTTTGAGGCAGCTTTTCCAACTGCAAAAATATGATTGCAATAAAATATAAAAAAAGAGCAACGGTTCTACAATAAAAACGTTACCTCTGAGCCTCGCTACACGCTGCACCCCGATGTTCAGTTCTTTCAAGCTAGCCGCGAGCTCCCGATGACTGTTGAGCCGAATCTCGTGCTCTCGAATCAAGTCACCGTTAATGTTCTTCAACTGCATTAGTTTCTTTCGCATATCGTCAATATTCTCGAGGATTCTAGCATCTTCTAAGCGAATCACAATACTCTTCAGAAGAGTGGCACCGCCCGCGGCTTCCGCCTGAAGTCGCGCGTCGACTTCCTTTAAACCTAAAAAATATTTCGATGTTATTCAAAACGCGTCCTTTACAGCAGTAGATCTCGCTCGAAAGATGACTTTCGCTTAGAGAAAAATCGATTGTCGACGGAAATCTACCCCCTTCTTTTCTAACGACGTACCCTTAACGCGTTCCAACGCGTCCAACATCCTCTTCTCCTCCGCGGGGAACGTGGCTTCTGAGTTTAGTTCTCTGACGCCTAAATACATAGCGAGAGATTGGATAATGTCGCCGGCAAACGTCGCATCATCTGTCTGGATTATCACTTTTCCACCGGCGTTCGATTTGAAGCAGTGCGCCTTGTCGTCCCGCATCCCACGAAGCCACACTTCGATGCATCCGGCATTCGGGCCGCCCTCCACGACCTCCAGTTCCTCTCCCAGAATGAGACTCTGGTTCAGCCAAATGGCGATCCGCTGTGGTCTCTCCGCGACCTACGGGATTACGTATTCGTATTAACATTAGCATTAGCTTTTTAGATATTATTAAAATATCTACGAAGTTTAAACGTTACTCACGTCCGCCACAACGCCATTGTTCGATAATTCTTCTGGGACATGTTGAGGCTTCGGGATGCGCTCGTACATACAAAATCTTGGCAACTGCCGCGTTATTTCGAAGACCTAGCGAACGTTAGAGATATATTACGATTTGAAATTTACATTACGATTATGTTCCGTATATTTTACAACAATTATCAATTACCTGTAGTAGATCGGCACCAGATGGTCCGACGTACACTTTAACGTGAATGTCTACGGGATCATTCTTTGCAGGATAAAGCGCGATCTCTAACTCCCCTTGCGGCCGGTTGGGATGGGTGACCAGCGTCTCACCCTCAAAAACACCCTCAGCAAAGACTATGGCGCAATGCACCTAAATATTATATTACATTTACGAAATCTCGCGACTTTAATAATACGGTTCCATTTTTTTTTTGTTGAGGAAAAATCGAATTGAATTTAAATTGAAGAAATCAAGAAATTTGTGGACGGAAGGGAACTCTCGAGCGGTTTCAGGGATATCCTGTACAAATGTAGCGTATTACCAGAAGCCCAGGTCCAGCGGCAAGCGCGACGCGGGCTGCACCCCTCTTTGTCAGCAGGCTGATGGCTAGTCTCGATCCGTAGTACATATTAGAACCCGTCGCAGCCCTCTGTCGCAATTCCATCTGGAGTGCCTGCTTCTTAGCTAATAGTTCACGAATTATCTCGCCGGGTTCTGGAGCTTGCATGGCAGAGCCAGTGCTGTATCCGCGCACTACAAAAAGCGTGCGAGAGTAAATGAGAATTTCGCAGCAAGAATCGTAGTTGTTTAGCAAGGAAAACGAGTTCCAAAAGTTTATACCTTCACCGTTAGTAGAAACCACCACCAGATCAGGTTTGCCCGTTCTTCGATAATCAGCTTCTACTATGCCCGCCACGCCGGATAATAGTTGAATCTTAAACATGACCTCACCGGTGTTATATGTTCTCGCATCCACTTTTCCGCTGCTCCAACCAGTGATCAGCTCCGGTACACCATCGCCGTTTATATCGAAAGTGGTTACGGTTATCACCTTGTGCTTTGACTAAAATATATTTTGCAAATCCGATTAAATTGTTTTAACACGCGCGCAATTAAGATGTAAACTTTCTCCTATAATATGTAAGCATTTTACCTTAACTCGCCATAGTCTCTGTCCTGCTTCGTAGACCCCGATTGTTCCGTTTTCAAGAGCATAAGCGAACTGCCTATTCGGGAGATCAGTGAGAACAACGATCGCTGCTGTTTCCTTAGTTTCCCAAAGCATGCTGTCTTTCTTCTGCACTCTAATTTCAAAATCTGTTGTACCCGTCAGTAACTAAAAAATTAAGTAATAAAGTCGTACAGTAAAGAATATATAGGGTGTTATTCTTAATCCTGATGCTTCAAGCGTAAATCCAGATTTCAAAATAGGAAGAAAATTTGTCAATAATTGATATTAAATTGAACGTGTTTACTAAGAATCGCCTTATACTCACTTCATTTTCTCCATCTCCATCAAAATCAAACGCTGCCAGTGAGGTAACAATACCTCCCATTACTGTCCAAAATATTTCTGTTCCATGCGAATCTAAGACTGTCACCGAGCAGTTGCCACCTACCACTACAACGTGGTTTGGTAGCCAGCCGACTTTTGCAACAATCATACAACTTGCACCGTCCGACATCTGAAGTAATCAGTATTGTAAGCTATAGATTCTGCTATAACTTAACTCGAAATCATAATCAATACCTCCTTGTAAAAAACATCAGCATTATCCTCGACGTGATAAGCGAGAACGTGAGAAATAGTACCGACCAAAAGAACATCCCTCTCATCTTCCCCAAGGCGACCAGTGCATAATGATTTCACCTAGATAATATGAATTTTCGTACACTAAGAAAGCACGAAATAAAAATATAGAATGATGCGAAATTTTATTTAATGCGTGAAACAATTCGTAACATTTTCATTCCAGCACATTCGGACCTCGGTACCAATTTGGAGCTCCGCAAGTTCGCCGCTCCATGACAATCTTTTACTCGACTGCTTGTGATCGGAGTAATCGACCTGCGGTTGCCTGTGTGGACTGTGCACCAAAATAGTTCCGCCAGGTGTAGCAGCCGCAAGGCACGCATGCGAGCCGTCAAATTTTCCACTCACGACAAGACCTGCCTTTATATGCCTCTGAATGTTTAAGGAGAATTCTGCCATTCTGAGCTAGCGTTACATTGTCGCGATATGCTTTGCCAATGTTGTGCCTTTACCATTGGCACGGTGATGGAAATATTGATTTTTACAGCTGACTCTATCGTTTGTAGATGTCACAACTGTACTGTACAATACCGTACAATACCTACGTTATCATTATTCTGTTGTATTTAGAATAACGCAGTCAATACGTCCAATTTAGTAATTGTATTTATTTTAGCAGAAATGTAATTATATATATATGTATTTCGTAATACTTTTAATTATTATTATTAAGTATAATTATTATTGATATTATTTCTATCACTTTATGAAATTATACTATAAATTTGAATAATTTCCACAAGACCACTCTTTGGGGTAAAATGCACCCGCAGGCACAAATTATTTTTATTAGATCATTGTCTTTGTGCACTTCCGCCAGCTTCTGGATTCGTCGCGGATGATAACAGCAGAAAAATCAAGAAAGGAACGATGTACATCCACTGCAACAGAAATAAACGAGTTGTACATTGACTCTTGTATACATATACATGTGTACAAACAATCTACAAAAACAATATTCTTACGTATTTCGCAAGGAATGAACGATTGTCTTTGGTTTCCCCTCTCTCCCTTGCTTCTCGTTCCCGTTCGAGCTTCTGGATATACATAGCGGTGTCTGGGATTGGACCGCCATCCGGATATTTGACCACAACATTGGTGGTCCACATGTTCGTGAAGGGATTATCTAGCGTACAGGGTCCCGTGGATGAAATGCTCACAGCTATCGGCTCTGCTGTACTGTCCAGCCATATCGTCATGACGTCTTCCAGATCCGAGCCAAGCAGGTAGCACTATAAATTGAAAACAATGAGCACATTCAAACATAATAAGAGTCTCCGCACAAAAATATAAGGAACAAGAAATAGATATTAGCCATTAGGACTAAGGAATCAGGAGTCAAGCTGGTGTAGCATTGATACATGGCTTCTGATAGGTTAAAAATCTATTGTCTGTTTCTGTTGCCTGTGTTTTTAATTATACATCCAGTTTTATTCCTGATTCCTTAGTCCTCATTGCTAATTCTGTTTTGTATTTTTCATTGTATACGGGGGCCTTAAAACACAATGTACCGTCAAATGAAAGAAACTAATAAGAATCGTCCACGAGTGTCATGTTCCTCGATCAAGATATTCTAAATCATCTTGGGCGAGCATCCTGGAGTAAGTTCTTATCAAGGAATCTATCTGTAGGACGTGGACGATTTCAAGGGGCTTGCTCGCGAGACATTTACCGCTGGCACCGAGGTGAGGAACACGATTTCGCTGCCGGAAGAGGTGCGAGCCAGCGCCTTCAGTCTGTACTTGCCGTCGTGCTCGGCAAGATTTTTCAGGGCGCTTATCTGGGCCGGCAGCAGACCGTTCTGCCCGACGACGGACGCGCCGCTACGCACGCTGGACACCGTGATGTTTCCCCGTTCCGTGAACACGGGCACCGGGTCGTCGTTGAACGCGTGCCCTAACCTCAACTGCAGCCAGCCGTCGTATTCGAGCTCGCTCTGGAAAATTAACCCTCGCGTCAAGTACGGGCACAAAGACCCGCCGCTGGCGTTTTTATGAAACGTCGAAGGCTCCACTTACCCCGCAGACGAGCGAAGACGCGCAGAGTAGCGCACCGACGACGACGTACAACGGATGCATTTCTTACGGCGCGACTTGGCGCACGACGCTGACAGCTGACAGACGCACTAGGAATTGCTAGGAATATAATTAAATTACGAAGTCACCGACGCAGGGGCAGGGCCACGTGTCATTGTGCAATACCGCTTTTTAGGGTTACGAGTCACGGCAGCTAAAATACAGCTATCGCTGCGACCATGCAAACTCGGAGTTCTCCGGGAGAACTCGCTGACTGACAGTATTGACGTATTGACAGTGACACTACTGACGTAACTGACGCAGTGACGCAGTAAGTACGCCTGTACGCATCGCACGAAGATTTTGGCCACGTTCCGTAACGCGCATATATGCGCGCATTTATCTATAGTATACGTAACGTTTACTATAGAAAATGCGCGCATATGCGCGTTACAGAACGTGGCCTTTATAACGTGTGGCCACGTCGAAGGTTGATGATCAAATATTAAAATAATTATATAAAATAAAAAATACATAAAACATAGGACATTTTTTACTTCTATTTATACAAAAAACTCTTTTAGTTCGTACAGTATGTCATATGTGACATATATGTGTGTTCATTAATGGTAATTATCATCTAGTAGGCGAGCCTAAACCTATATTTTTTTTCAATGAAAATTCCAATTAGTTCGATTGCGAGAATACGATGCGGTTGACGAAATACGAGACATTCTGTACATAACGATCGTTTTATTATTATTAGGGATTAGGTGAGCGAGTGTCTGGATCGCTGTACAGTGTAGAATCTTCAATAATTATTATTATTATAATGTTTAATTTTAAAACAGTACAATATCATGTGCGATTACAATTTGTAGAGCCTAGAAATATATGATATATCTCAAAAAGTTAACTGCTAGATAATTGCACGAGTCAATTAATTATTTCTGCGTCGTATGATAAAATCACACCAGCTACGTGCCTTCTTCCACAATCGGAATGCAAATGCAAACAACAATATATGATACGAACATTACGAACATCCGCTTCCTCGCCTATCTTATATTCGTATACAGAATCTGTTTTCAACACGAATTTCTTGTCGATCCTTTTTACCAAATTATTACGAATCAATACCGTGTTCTCGAGATATTTATCTAAAATCTCCTACTTGAGTGCCCTTTATTTTATTTAATTTTTTTTTGTTTTGGCAAATCTTTCAGATGCGACATTTGTTCATCTCAATCCTTCAGCTCCTTGTCGTAGATAAAGACCCCGAGGCCTTCCCCGACTCTCTCCAGATTAGTCACATGATCGGCGATCTCCTTTATCGAGTCCACCTGCTCCTGCAGGAACTCGGTCTCCAGGAAATCCAGGAAATTCGCGTCGTTGTGCGTCGAGGCGATCCCGTGCAGCTCGAGCAGCTTCTACAAAAATTAAAAAACGATCGATCGATAGAATAAAATCACGATTTTGCGTCGAATTAGCGCGAAACCGGACACGCGCGGGTCGCCTGACCGCGAAGCGGGAGAAAAAAAAAACTGGCTGGAGGAGCTGGGATTTGAACCCAGGACTTTCCGCATGCGAAGCGGACACTCTACCACTGAGTTACACCCCCAATCGCTACATGGTAGTGTAAAATCGCGCTACTTCCACTAACGCGCGTGTTTAGCGGAAGAATTTATACCACCTGTAATAATTAAATTAACGAACAACGCGAGAACAACCTTGAGACTCAATTAGCGAAAAAAACGCGCGGTCGGATTTTATTGTTAGTTTACCTGTCTGATTTTCAGTATAGTATTTTGATTTACAATAAAATTTATGGCAATCATTAATACCTATTAAAAACTTAACAATCTTAACAGCAACATTGTTAATAATTTAATAACGGTTTTGGACGTTAGTTATAAATTTTATCTTGTGAAAGACGTCGACATATATAGGAGTGACAGTCACTTCTTCGATTTGAGATGGGAAAAGAGAGATCCCTCGTTTAAATTAATCAGATTCAATATCGCCAGGTTAAAAGTTCAGGTGTGTCCCAGGTGTCCCTTTCTTTACTTTGCCACGCTATTCCCGGCGGGTAAATCGATTACGCGCGCGTGCGCCCGCGTATACGCACACACAACACGCATACACACACCTGATTCACTTTCTTCTCCAGCTGCAGAGCCTCTGTCATAGCGTCCTTCGCGCCGTTCCAGTCTCTCCTGGATGGCGCCTGGATGTCCATCAGCACGACGTCGCCGCCCCGCTTGTTCTGATAAGTCAGAAATTTCATAGCATGCTCGCGTTCCTCGCCCGACGCCTTTTTAAAGTACTTATACAGGCCCGGTAACGCGACGTCGCTCCTGTCGAAGTAGTACGCCTGCAACGAAAAGCGTGGCATGGAAAAATCGCATCGCGGGGGAGCGCGACATCACGCTTTACAAAAAACATCGATATATATATGTAGTATCAGATTAGAGAAAGGGAGACGGAGACGGAGCTAGAGGGAGAAGCGTAATGCGGAACTCTACAACGCAATAGCTGAATGTATTCGACGAGAGCGAAAACAATAACGGACGCGAAGATATCTCCCCTCGCAGAGCGTCTCCAATTACATGAACGTAACTTTTACGTAACATCCAGATCGGCATGAAAGATTTAAACCAAAACTGTCATCGAGAGGCGCGCGTGTGCGACATAATATACAGAGGAGCGATCTACGATTATATCGGATTGCGCTCATTGTCAGGTGTACACGCGAACACGAGCGGGGTGTTTCGATCGAGAGCGCGGTCAAGGGATGACGATGACAGAGGGACGACCGGAAAGTTCTGGGTTGTTGTGTCTGAATCGATACGCCGACTGACCATGGACAGATAAACATAACTGGCGTATAGCTCCAGATTGATTTGCTTGTTGAGCGCGTCCTCGCACTCCTCGTGGAAGTTCTGCCGCACTAGACTCATGGCTGCGAGACGAGGGTGGCCCTCACGTCGCGGAAAGGGACTGCGACCAAGAAGACTGGCACTGCGCGCTCGCGATCTCGGCCTCGACTACCCCCCGATCTCGATTCTCGTTTCGTTTCGTTCGCGCTACGAGGATGACGCGTGACGCGGACGTCGGATATAAGCACGGTGCCGCGGAGTCTCGAGGACTTTCATAACATTCCGCAATTGGCGGAGCAGTCGGCGTCGAGGAGTGCGGGCCGTGCCGTGACACTGCACGCAGGCGCGGAAGCACCTCGGCGCCTCGGCGTACATACCTCGACAGTTAACGCGGAGAAAAGACTCCCCCTTGTCAAGACCGCGGCCAGGAAAAGAGGCGCGATTGAAGTTAACGGAAAGTTCAGGACCGCGCGGGCGTGAAACGCCGCGATTTGTAAAAAAAAAAAAAAAAATAAATAACGAAAAATGTATAAAATGTATAAACTAAACTGCGATGCAACGCGCACGCTTGTCATACGGGAAGATAAGACTGAAATTATCATATTTTGCGACGATAAATACGATATACTTTGCACCTGAGGCTTGAAATAATTCTGTCCACTCAGAAGCATCAAAGAATTCAGCAGTGAAGTCTCGTGCAAAGTCTTGATAGGTGAAATTTGGAGGATACCTTTTTCTCATAAAGTCGGCAAATTTTGTAGTTCTTTTCTCCTCTACAATATCATTTATAGAATTCTATAAGATATCACATTATTCTCCATAATATTTTTTAATGTAAGAACTAAGATAGTAGATATGTTCAACCTTTCCAATGATTCCAAAACCATTCGGAGCCAAAGCTGGGCACGCTGAATACACCCCAATGAATAAAGATTTCAAACTTTGCCTCATCGACCTCATCGTACCAGGACGGAAGCGGTCGACTGTCTAGACTAGACCAAATTGGATCGTATTTGGGTGCTTTTGTTGCAAATGGCACAAAATTATTTTCATCCCAGTTTGTTATTACATTAACATATGCCTCTACTGTCACACAGAGAATCAGTACGGCGCACCAGATACGTACAAACGTCATCCTGCCAGTAAAAACTTGTAGTGAAAGCAATGATTGTTAAACGAGTCTTTTATTCCTATTGACTGATATTAAATCTCGACGAGAATTCTATTTCTGTATATTGTTTTGCATTCATATTTAGAGATTAGATTAGATTAACACTCCATATTGTTTTAGGACAAAGATCACATTATTATTGATCGACGCTATATAATTCATGTGTACAGTTCAACATTTTTGTGGAACGCTGTAATTCCGCTAAAACCCTAGAAAAAATTTTAAATAATATTTATTATTATATTTAATCTAAATTAAATTAGCATGCATGTATAGCTGTCAATTTATCGTAAATTTTCAATAATTGGCATTCAAATCGAAAATTCACAATTGTAATAGAAATCTTTATAAATTTCGAAAAAATATTTTTCAAAAATTGACAATTGTAGATTTGATGTAGATTGATGACAATTGTAGATTGACAATTGTAGATTGACTTTATTGTGGATACGTAATTACAAATGTTGGATTACCAATTTCGTGTTACATAAGATTAATTCAGAGTAAATGTTTTTATCTCTTCACTGAGGTCATGTTATCTTTCCAATGGTAAATTATGGTCATGTATGTAAATGTGCATCTCGGCTCCATTTGGCTGCATTATCGTATTCACAGTGTAATTAAAGTATCATCCAAGGTGCAATCTACAAAGCAGATGTAGATAAGAAGTTGCTCGTGCAATCTACTGCTTGTATGAAAAAAATGATATGTTATAGAATCTTTTTACGTGGATATCTGTCTGCTGGACCACGGGGACCTAACCTGAAATGATGTTTTATATTGGACAATGGACCGCTCGAAACGCCACTCGCACCCATTTTCAACGTTGGAACTATTTGGCATATCCATTTTCTGGCACTGTCGATAAAGTCTCTCCCCTTGGTGCGTGTCCGTGCTGCGCTTATGATTTTCGTGTTGTGTAATTTTACATAATATATTTTTGCAATATTAATAATAAGTTCAATTACTGTACACCGTACATGCAATAATAAAATTTAATTGCATAATTTTAGTTGATCAACTGTACGTTTTTATTAGCCATCCATTTGACTCACGTATTGTCACGTACCAAAGTTGCATATTCAAATATTTCGTCATTATTAGAAAAACGTGATAGACACGGAAACAAATTGATTTCGGGAAAACTGGCGTCACAATTCATTTAATTAGTAAGCAAAACCTGCATCAATTCTGTATTTTACATTCTTTGTAATAATAACATTTAACTATCGTGTATATAGATTCGGCATTCGAACTTGGCGATCGCGCGCGTCGTGTCGCGCGCGGGATCATTATGAAGTTGGCGACGTTGGCGTGGCGTCACTACTCACCCTATTCACTCTCGAATCTCCCGTCGTCGCGAACGGAACGTCTCGCGGATACAGGATGGATCATGGATCCGTTCGTCGTGGCATGTTTAACCGGTAAGCGCAATCGTTATTGGGAGCTTCATATTCAATCGTGTCTTAATATTTGACACTCGCGCGACGTAGATTCGACGCTCGGTACATCGCTCAAAAATATTTCTCGCGATGCGTTCATTCGGCCGAAATCGATCGCGCGGGATCACGGGAGAGATGGCGCATCGTGACGTCACTCTCTAATCCCTCGTCATCGCGAACGGAACGTCGGCGGGTACAGGACGACGGGTCTATTCGTCTTGGCTCGTATATAATCGCTATAATCGGTAAGCGCAATCGCTTATGAGCTTCCGTATTCAATGGTGTCTTAGTATTTGGCACCCGCGCGACGTGTAGATTCGAAGCTCGATACATTGCTTAAGATATTTCTCGCGATGCGTTCGGCCGAAATCTATCGCGCGGGATCACGGGAGAGATGGCGCATCGTGACGTCACTCTCCAATCCCTCGTCGT